TTTGAGAGCATATCTATATGGTGGGGTTCCTTTAAAGTAGCAGCGTTGACCCGCCGCACACGTTCGGCAGGTTCGTCCGCTGACACTGCCGCCCGCCCTCGGACGTGGACCGCCACGATGTCCCTAAAAGACCGTCGCTACGCAGAAACCAGAAAGGCTAGATATGTGCTGTTGGCGTCAAAGCACGCGCAGTGCATGTCGGTTAGACTACCAAAAATATGGACGCGATTGCACGAAATGTCAGGGAGATGTCCCAAGAACACCTTGGGGAGTTTCATTCCCGTCCTATCAAGGGGAGGGTTGAAAATCCTTGCAGGGATTCAAGGTAAAACAAGATTAACTTGGACCGTAGTCAATGCCAGTTTCAGAGTGTGGTGAACGGCCCAACTGATGCCGCTCGTCTCCAAAGCAGCGTTTGTGCTCGGGCTCTATACTTGCATTGAACTCGAAGGGAATAAAGGAGCTTAAGCTAAAGGCTATCAATTTTAACATAATGCACACAATAGAGAGGTTAGCTCCGAAATAGCACGATGAACAGCTATCAGCCAAAACTTTATTTTGTAGTCAAAGGGTTTGTATAATGACTGCCAGGGTCATATGTAGTAATCAGGCCGAGTAAGGATACAAATCGCCCGGCATAAGTAATTGCCTACTCGTCGAATTACATTTGCCTCCGCATAAATGCATTACATCCGGCATTCCCGTACGTACCCAAAATTACAGAGCTAACGCCGCCGCTGGTGAAGCTTCCATGTGCCTGAGCTGTAAATCAGAAGTCACAAATGTATGACATTTTTGCGGCTCTGGTTTTGTTTCTATCCTTATCGTACCCGCTAATGCTCTGTTTCCAACAGCCTCTTGCCCCCTGGTGTTTCGCTTTCAGCAGCCTCTTGCCCTCTGGTGTTCCGCTTCCAACAGTCCCTTGAACCCTGGTGTTCCGCTTTCAACAGCTTCTTGCTTTCTGGCGTTCCGCTTCCAGTAGTCCCTTGACCCCTGGTGTTTCGCTTTCAACAGTCCCTTGCCTCCTGGTGTTCCGCTTCCAACAGCCCCTTGCCCCCTGGTGTTCGTTTCCAACAGCCCCTTGCCCCCTGGTGTTCCGCCTCCAACAGCCCCCCGTCCTCTGGTGTTCCGCTCCCAACAGCCCCCCGTCCTGTAGTGTTCCGCTCCCAGCAGCCCCCCGTTCTCTGGTGCCCGTTTCCAACAGCCCCGTCCTCTGGTTTTCCGCTCCCAACAGCCCCATCTGGTAGGTCATTACGTGGTATGGTGGTGTTCAAGGCCGAGATGAGCAAAAGGCCCGTTCATTGACAAAATCATTATAAGAAAAATGCGTCGTAAATGGACGTTGTGCGGCCCGAGCATGTCTTCGTGCGAAGGGGCAGTTCCCATGGCGCGGACGCTCGTGTGTCGAAGCGGTCGGTCGGCGGGCGTGGTACACGGTGCTCTGACTTTGCTAGGCGGTAACTACAGAACGTTTCAGAAGATCGTGAACGTCATCAAAAGCACTGTATTTTAGTTTTCTTCGACGCCTTTGGTTTCGCGGTTGGTTGGGGCGTGGTACACGGGTGCTCTGACTTTGCTAGGCGGTAACTGCAGAACGTTTCAGTAGATCATGGATATCATTAAAAACACTGCATTTTGTTTTTTTTGACGTCTAATTCACCTGTCATAAGAAACGTTTAATCTATTTTCTAAAAAGGCTTGAAAGTTCAGTTTTGACGTTACTTAATAAAAAAACCGTGCGGGCGGGGCGTGTATAGTATCCTTATCCGTCCAGCGTACGTTTTAAACCACGAAATAAGAACGTCTATCAGCGATTCAAGCAAAGGCGCTGTGTGGAAATATTTAAGAAAGCGGGCATGTGGAAATATGTTAGTCCTCATGCAGCTGACATTACAGCTCTACAGCTGTTTGCACCACATCATATTCATTTTGAGATGTTGCAACACGTCCGAAGCTTTACTAATTTATGGTGTGGCTATTGATCGATTCATTGATCACTTGTGATTCATGTGCCATTGATCCTTGCATGTAAAATAGCAGCACCAATCCACCAGTCGTGTTTATCACCTAAATACTAATCGCCACCCCGCGCTTCATTGGAAAAGTTTCGTTTACTTGTGTTATCGAGCGCTGTTTTTGGTTCCGTAGAGTCGGTTGTGCTATGAAAAAGTTCCTAAACATGCGAACCACTTCAAGCGATTTTATTTATCATTTTCGCACGCTAGCAATATGACTGGCAAATTATAGAAGCCTGCATTGATAAGAATAACGACTAGGACTATACAACAAGGTAGGACGCGTGCAGTGTGTTTTAAGGCATCTTTAAATGCATCACAGGATGCTGCACTACAGGATGCATCAAATAGCTGCAGCTCTGGCCATCAGTGCTTGAGGCAGAAACCTCTTAAGGAAGCTCCTTCATAGATGAGGCCCGAAACAGCAAGACATCTATGTCACTGGATCTGGCAACAACCAGCCATAATCGCTTTATATCTGGCAGCGCCCAGGTGTGGCACTGCCGAGTGTATGCCGCCGAGAAGCTGCATCCCCTCGCCGACCAAGCTCAAACCGCGCGGGGCAACGGCGATGCCCAGCCAGCGGCCGGGCAGGCTCGGCGGCGCTCGCCGGCCCGAGGCTGTGAATTTTTAACGGGCGACGTTTCCGAGCCTCGCTCCGAAAATATGGCCCCCGGGTGCGGTGATTTCCTGCTCACTGTGGCCCTCCGTCATTCGTGGCGGATAGCATAGCCCGGGGGCACGATTCATTCCGGTAGTTGACACAAGGTGGCGGTGGGCACGCACCAGCGGTAACCGCACCCCAGTGGCTGCGGACACGGCCTCTGGCGTGATGAACAGCAAGGCTGGGCAATCCGTTTAATTGATTATTACCCAGAGCAGTATATGTCTGGCAGCTAACTGCCCGCGGAAAAATCTGGACGAGTGTTACGAGGCGGGATAAGTGATGGAGAGGGTAACTGTCATGCAGACTTGAAATATACCACAAGACTAGTGACTTTAGATGCTCATGTTGCTGCTTGTAGGTTGACATATACAAGAGAACAAATGATATGGGGCTGGTTATATCCCGGCACTGGAATGCTATATGCGAGTTTGCATAAAGGCCAAATGGCCCGGTCACTGGCTCTTCATTTCACCACGTGCAAGCCGTCCAAATGTACGCCACGGCTTGAATAAATCCAAGGACACCAGTGTTGTGGCGGGCGCTGGCGTAGCAGTTGACGTATGACATATTCTCATGGTAATTACGGACATTCTAATCACTGCCTTGCGTTGGAGGCCACACTTAGTCTTCACTCAAAGCAAGCACGAAGCATGCAACCACGCGACTCTAATTGCATTCAGAGATTTCCCACCGTTTTCATGTACTGGCCGTGTTTCTCATTTCCTTGCTCCCATTGGCTGAAGAGTCGTCACGTGACCGGCCGCGGCACAACTCCGCAGGTGACGGCCCCAGGCCCCATATATATATATATATATATATATATATATATATATATATATATATATATATATATATCTATATATATATATCTATATATATTATATCTATCTATCTATCTATATCATCTATCTATCTATCTATCTATCTATCTATTTATATCTATATCTATCTATATATATCTATCTATCTCTATATATATATATATATCTATATATTATTTATATTATATATATATACAATGATGCACCGCGCGGCGATAAAACATCTGGACACCTCGCACCGATGGTGCATGTAAGCCTCAGGACATGCGAAGGACACATCAGCTGTACTTGAGTCTTGCGTCCCGATGCGTCGCAGGGCATCACAGCGTTGTTGCCTGGACCTGGTGTCCGCTGTCACGGGTGTCCGCTGTTGCCTAGACCTGGTGTCCGCTGTCACGGGTGTACGCTGTTGCCTAGACCTGGTGTCCGCTGTCACGGGTGGCATTCGGCTGACACTCGTGCTGGGATTTGAGTTGGGACTTCTGGCGATGCTTCTCTGGGGCCTGCGCTGGGACTGGTGCTGGGAATGGCGCTGGGAGTGGTGCTGGGAATGGCGCTGGGACTGGTGCTGGGAATGGCGCTGGGACTAGCTGAGAATGGCGCTGGGATTGGTGCTTGGAATGGCGCTGGGACTGGTGCTGGGAATGGCGCTGGGACTGGTGCTGGGAATGGCGCTGGGGCTGGTGCTGGGAATTGGCTGGGACTGGCTGGAATGGCGCTGGGATTGGTGCTGGGAATGGTGCTGCGACTGGTGCTGGGAATGGCGCTGGGATTGGTGCTGGGGATGGCGCTGGGGCACATGCTGGTACTTTGTGTGACGCCGAAGTCCGATGTAGGACACCTGCACCCGCCACTTTTTTATCCGTCACCTTGTTTTTCCCGCCACCTGTCCTGCGTTGTGAGCGTAGTATACCTGAAAGTAATTGAATCATCCCATCGACTGGAGTAATCCACAGCAAGGCCACAAAAGACACCGCTCCTGTCTGTCGCGCTCCAGCCAAACGCTAACGTGGCTCTGAGCGATGCCACTCAGGTGTTGTGGGCCTCATACTGGCCACCGTTACGTTAAGGCCGGTACTGCAACTGCCACTACCCGCAACGGCTGCTTTCAGCCGGTTGTAGCGCAGTGCACTTCAGGTTGGCGTCGGTTTGGCATTAAAGCATGGCTGTCAAAGCCGGGCTTCAAAACAAAGCGAACAGGAGCAGGCTGGTCCCGTGCAAGATGGCCATGTAAGTCGGCGTCACATTCAGCTTTGTCGCGTGACTGACTCAATCGCTTAGGATGAGTTCGTGATGTACTCGTGCCAAGTTGTCTTCGAACACATGTCCTGCCGAGGTATTGGTTGAGGGGCAAAAACAAAACCACACCATCCACTGTATGCGTCGGGTTACGGAACCTTGACCCGGCCGAGGGTCCTCCAGAGCTCGACACTTCTGCCCCTCCCCGCTCCCCCGCGTTGGCGGCTTATTGCCCTGAGTGCGTTGCTCCTGATGACGTCACGGCCCCTCGTTACGTCTGTCGACGCACTGGAGGGCACGTTGGGCCCGGCGAATGCTTCTTTGTAATGTCCGCTTCGGCTGCGGCCGTCGGCCGGTGGCGCTCGGCGGCGTGATGGACAAGCCGGCCCTGTAATGGCTCCGAGGGAACGGCCTGTCGACGCCCCATGCGCCTATAGCCGCCGACTGCAGTCCCGGCGCCGGCAGGGGCGCACGCAGGGATCTCAGAGCGGGGGCGGACAAGTCCGACGCCAGAGCAGTGGGAAGCGGGTCCGCTGAGCTCGCGGTACTGTCAATATGGTCAACACGCGGTCTTGTTAAACCGTCTGCATGATTTTCTTAATGAAAGCCACAGATTTTAATTCAAGACCCTTCTTAGCTTAAATGTGTGCTTAGATAGAAAAATGGGCTTATTCTAAGCTCCGTGCAGCCGGTGGA